AACAACAACAACAACGTACTGGATTAAGAAGTGCTAATGGTACAGTAGGAGCTCTGGTAGCATTGTTCCTAAGGCACTTGACTGCTAACCAGAAGGTTGGTGGTTCAAACCCATCAGCCCCTCCTAGGAAGGAAGGTTGGGCAATCTACTTCCATAGTGATACCGCCTCGGAAACCCAAGGAGGGGTCACTATGGGTCAGGTCTGACTCGATGGCACATAACAACAATGGTACAGTGGTTAAGGCATCAGCTGCTAATCAGAAGGTCACTGGTTCAAACCCACCAGGTGCTCTGTGGGAGAAAGATGCAGCAGTTTGCTTCCTTAAAAATTTATAGTCTTGGAAACCCTATGGGGCAGTTCTGCTCTATCTTGTGGGGTCACTGTGAATCAGAATCTGTTCAGTTGCAGTGGTTTTTGTTTTGGTGGGTTCTGGAATAAAATCCTAATTTTTATGTGAAAATGTCCCCATCCCAATTGTATTGTTTCCCAGCAGCTGCTCAATCTATAAAATCTGAAAAGGACAGTTTTTTATTATTACTGCAGAACATTTTTGCTTAAATATGTATTATCCTATATATTGCCTACACGTAGACCAAGGTAGCATTTGTGCTGAGGACTTTTATAGCTGATTGTTAGTGTAACTGGATAAAGTGTGTGAGATACTTCTGTATTTTCTGTAATATTAAGTAAGCTTATGCATAGTTTGTGTTTCACCTGACTGTATTTAATCTATGAAAATGTAAATTACTGGTAATAATTGTATTTATATTATACCTTTTCCTTGAAAACCTCATGGTACTTGGTATAGTTATTACTACTTATTTATTTTTTTTAGCAAAACTGCTATTTATAGTTTTAGAGTAATTAATAGCATAGCATAACCAAGACAAAAAAGGAAGAAAGAAGCTTTACTTTTCCAAATAATAACATGTAATTTGGTTAAGAATAAAGTTTTGTTTTTTTCTGAGAAAGGAAGTTGTAAATGTGACATTTTGTTTCCCATTTTAAACATCTGATTTTTAAAAGAAACCCATCCTCACAGCCTGGAATCTAAGTAGATTAAAATATTTTTTTGGTTACTAGCCACTCCTTGGAAGGAAGGTTGGGCAATCTACTTCCATAGTGATACTGCCTCAGAAACCCAAGGAGGGGTGGCAATGAGTTGGATCCAACTTGACAGCAGTGAGTTTGGTTTGCTTATTTTAGAACTTTGATGTATTTCTAACAAAATCTATAATATAGGAAGCAATCTAGTGTTATTAATATTTAATTATTCTTACTGA